CACTGATGCAGCTCTATCTATAATAAAAGCTGGTGCTCTACAGTTTATGCAAAGAAAGTGGTCGATGGTGACCCAAAGAATAATCTAAAAAAATTTTCATTCCTCTATGCACCATCCACATGTCATGTAAAGAAAGTGAATCACAGAACACTCATGTATACTCCAATCTTTAGTACCTAGTACCAAGAACACATGAACGCATTTAACGATGTGAAAAGACCGTTATTCGCATTACGTCTTCCCTCCTTCCTCTAGTGTTACTAGGAGCGAATTTTCTAGCACATTAGGAGTGCATTAATTTTGTTGTGATCTTCTTATGCCTTCATTAGCTAACTTGCATTGGGAACACAAAGATTTGGCATGTAAAAAAGGAAATTTATTGGAGTCTGATGACAGGAAAACTAATTTCAAATGAATACATACAAATTGTCTTGACACGTCTTCATCCAACATTTCAAAAGACTTCACTGCTTCCCCACCTTTTCAGCCTCCTCCTGATTAAGCAATAATTGCTGCAGAGTCAGGACCTTTCAAAGCATGTCAAATAGGCGAAAGCGACACTAGAGTAAAACAGGAGTAAAAGTATGTACCCTACCGCTAGTGCACTTGCAATGCCGACAATAACGACTTCGGGCCTGAAGTCAGGATCACTTTATTGTGGACACACTAGCGGAAGCAGTCACTGTTTGAACAACTTGCATGCAATTTATCACATCCTCTTTGGCTCAATGTGCCACATTACCAAGCCAGCTAAATTTACTCTTACAAATACCATCTTCCAACACATGCAATATTATTCAACACGTTCCAATTCCAGCACAACGGCGACCAAGTCATCATTGACATGATCTCAAATGTTTCTCACCTTCTGAGCAAAGTATGCTGTGATAAATAACTTCAGTTACGCCACTCCTTCAGTTCGCCTTTCTGCTTCATTGTTCACAAATCACAAGCAAGCACAATCGGTCAAAATGCGCAAAAGTGGTCAGAGAAGAGAGCAATTTCTCCAATGACATAGCAATTGACAGCTAAACACCTTATTTCCACTGTCATGTCTTGTGTGAAGTGAGTAATAGGGATTCGTTCAACTTTTCGTTAGCTGGCTCGGGTGCCGTACGATTCGCTACTTGTTCTGAAATGACGATGACTTAATTGGGTACGCTACTTAGGCTCTTCAGTTGGGAGGCATAATTAAATACTCTTGACGTACCTAGGATGGACAAAATACTAATAAGCATCTAACGAATGGAACCAAATCAATAGACGATGTCCTCAACATCTGCTCCCCTTCTCTCTCTCCCTCCCTGCCACTTATAAAAATGATTCCTATGAATCCCATGACCGTCGTTGTAATGATTGTAGAATGCAAAATGCGTGACTACTAGGTCCACCCATAAGCACCAGATGGGCCGAAACACTTATCGACAGTCTATGTGGTATTGTATAAAACTGCGTAGGTTAGCTTTGTTCTAGTCATCCCTTAGACAGTGACACTACCTGCGCCCCACACGTAACTATCACTGTCCTGAACGCAAACCCACCTCCACCTTTCCCTATGTGACTGACAAAGATCTGACACAAAAATTTTGAGCTACCATTCAAC